AGATGGGAATAGATGGGCGATCGGATCGATAGTCAGCACCCCGCGGTTAACGTATGTGAATGAGGCAATCGTTCGGTGGCGGGTGGGGGAGAGGGGGTTATGCGGCACACAGCGCACAAGGGCGGGGGAAGGGGATGTCACCCGCTGCCGGGAGAAGGTGCGCTCTTCTTTGCACAGATACGGCAAGGGGGCCAAGGGGCAGCGCAAAAGATCTGAAGGGGGGTTCGAGAGGGGGAGAGCTGGTTGAGAGAAGGGGGAACGGCCAAGGCGCGCTGCGCCGCGCCGCGACGTGACGTGACCCCAATAACAAACAAAAAGAGGTCCAGCACGGGGGACGGGCCGAGGGCCCTTTACCACTGAGAGGATATCGGAGTACGGAAGGACGAAGGCAACCGCGCAGGCAACAGACAAACAAACACACACACAAAAACTTGTATGTTCAAGGACCAGAACGGCCTTCTTTAACCATCCACGAGTCCGCCTTTCCAATGGCTGCGCTGGCTGCGTGCGGCCCCCCCCCCAAGGGGTATGTGTCCTGTATGGCGGCGCCCCCTTCCCCCCCCGGCGGGCGCACTGCGCTACATCGCACCCACCTGCGGAGGGCGATAAAAAGACCACGTCAGCGGCGCTATGCGCGGTGTTGGTGACTTCGGCAGTTCCGTCGGAGAATGGGGCGGGGAGCCCCGGGCTGCAAATGCGGGAGCCAAGGGGGGTGGGGGTGAAGGATGAACCACGGGTGGGGGTAATGAAGGCGGTAACGGGGAGAGGAATGACGCGGGCGCCAGCTCCGGAGCTAGGGGTCGCAGAGGCTGCTGAGGCGCGGATGGTGGCAGGGGTGGGGGCGGCTGCCGCTTCTGCCTCGCCGGTGGTCTAGGTGGCGGCGGCGGTCGGACCCCCGGGGCCATTGCTGCTCGGACGTCAAGGGGTGCGGGAGGCTCCGACGGTTGAGCCGGTGGCAGCACTGGCTCACGAGGTGGCCCGGGCCAGGAGGGCGAGGGCGAGGGCGCGGGTGGCCCCGGTGGGACCAGGAGGGGCACGGGACCCGTTGCCTGCATAGCAACAACGACAACAACAACAGCAGCAGCAGTAGCAGTAACAGCAGCAGCAGTAGCAGCAGCAGCAGTAGCAGTAGAAGCAGCAGAACACATCGGTGAGAAGCAAGACGAGAAAAGAACGGCAAACGTAGCGGTCTTAAATATGTGAGAGCACAGCAGTGATCCGCTGCTATAGCTTTGCGGAGAGTGTTCACTTGGGGGGGGGGCCATGTGGCATGCGTGTCCGCTCCAGGGCACCGAGCCAAGAGGGGAAGACCACACAGACAGACAGATGGCGATGCACTTGTGCGTACGTGTGCATGTTGCGGCTGCAGGTAGGCTGGCTGGTAACGGTTACTTTGTTTTTTAGCTCTTTAGAAGAAGACGTTTAGAAGAAGACGTTTTTATAGCGGGGTTACAGGATGTGTTGGCGAACCAATCAGTTGGGGCTCGTGAGACGGAATAAAAAACCCCTAAGATGCAGAATTACCGGAGCTGCAGGTTGTGGTCCTTAATCAATTAATCGTTTCTTTTTAAAATGATATTTAACAATCCAATTTATTATCAATCCTTATGCAATAGGATCCTAATTTAATTGATTCCTTCATATCGTATAATCCAATCCTTACTTATTTAAGAAATTAGGATTGTCCTGAGGGGCGCAAGTGACACACCATGTTTACGTACGTATTTATGGACGGCTGCCTGAGGTCGTGCGTGGCTCAGAATGCATGTGTGGCGACACTACTGACTTATACAGTTTAAGGTCCTGGATTCATTTCGTGGGGAGACCCCCTACATTGTCGGGAGCGTGAGATTATGGCTAGCTGCTGAGATGTGGAGTTGAGGTCACAGTTGATGGATCGAAATTCGCACGCTGGATTGGTGGCGATTGCGGAACCCTCTGTCTCTGCGGATGTTCAGCAGGGTTCTTCACCAGGGTACCCAAAAATTTCGGCCGTGTCCGAAACCCTCTGATTAACCTTTCGGGGCCCTCCCCGAAAATTTTCCTGTCAGCCGGAGAGTGTTTTCGGGTACCCCGAAACTGTCTGACGCGGTTTTCGGGGTAAAATTTAGCTGGATTCTATCGTTATATGCTAGGACGGCTGAATTAACAGGTGTTTGACTTTATTTTGGAACATAGCTCCTGGGAGAAATATTTCAGCAAGGATTTTACACAAAGCAAGGCTATCTTTGACTTCATAACTGAAAACTCTTTCTGCAAAACGTCAAGTTCGCTAACATCGAAGGCAAGCAGGCGGTTCGAGCTTGCCGAAGCCGCGAATCCCGAGGGAGATGCGGGGCACCTTCATCATCAGTTGACTCGGGCATGTTTAACTATGCATATGCTTAGATGTATGAAAATGAGTTCGATACAGCTGCGAAACAGCCGCAATGCACATTTGTACTTGTTGTTTGACTGGTGACCAAGCGGGGCTTATACGGCAAGCCCGGTTTCCAGCCCCGGTCTGCGCCCGAAAACATACTAATTTACGCTGAAATATCGTTCGGTTTTCTCCGAAAATGCCTTCAAAATGCTTCGGTGGGGCCCCCGAAAAAATGCTCCAAAAGGCCCCAAATCCGTTCGGGATGCTCCGGGGCGCACTAATTTTCCTTTCGGGCAAAACGGAAAAATCTCAAAAAAGTTCGGGCCCGAATCGGGGTGAAAAACCCTGATGTTCAGGTGAATGGATGAGGAGGGATCCTAGAAGGCAGGATCAACCGCCTTGGACTCTCAGTTAGTATGGCGTAGTACAGTACAGTACAATACAGAATGCATGTGTGTGTGTGTGTGTGCCGAACATAGGATGATATTAATGCCGGCGTGGCGCCCAAACCCTGGCCTCTTGTCACGGTCGTTCGATTGGCAAACCCTACCCTCCAAATAGGCACTGCATGCACCGTCTCTGCGTCAGAAATTCCCGCCCTTGCCCGTGTCTCCACCCTACCCAGACACCATCCTTGCTTTCGGCTGCCACTAACCCCCTCACTCGATATACAGGGTACCAGGGTTTATTTCTGTGTAAAGTATTTGCAGAGCCGTCTGGCCTAAGTCAATAGCGGTTTGCTTGCTCCCGCCCATGTCGTCTAGAGCGAAACCCGACAAGCCTACCATGCTGCACGATTCGTTACGAATGTATCGGCAAGGTGACCATGTTAAAATACATTCAACCTCACCTCGCGGCTCGAAGATCTGCTCTTTGTGCAGTGGCCCAGTCCGCAGACAGCACCGATAATCAACGCAACGATTGCCCAAGGCGCAAGTATCAAAATAATCAAGAACGCCCATTTAAAGTCCCTCGGGGCCTATTGCAAAAAGAAGAGGAAGCATATGTGGTCGCATCGTGGCGTATCCCGCAGCGCGCAGTAGGCGAGGAGGAAATCATCGCAAACCTACCCACGATACAGCCTTTAAGAGCAAGGAAACAGCAGGGTCCGCATCAGAGCTCTTGGCGTCGCCTTCCTCTAAACTCTCGTCACCATAACGACTCCAAGGAGCAGCCGGTTCAAGAAGGTCAAGATTAACCACATCAACCAGACGCCGTGAGCTTAAAGGTAGGCGGCCTGACCTAGCTTTCCTGTTCGCTCCGAATAAGGTTCCCAACCGCATGGTGCTCGTTTCGTTGGCCAAGTATTGGCCTAGGGTTACCGGTGTTCATCCAACGCTCTTGACAGTTATTACAATTTCAAGTTACGGCAGTTAAGGGAAGCAGAGCCCTTGCATTTCCAGGAAAAATGTCGTGATATACAAATTTTACAGCGCGCACGCGCATCAAACCAGATTGTTCACAATAACATGCTCAGTAATAAAAATTTACATGGATATAGTTCGGGTTTATTTGTTGCTTTAGAATAGTTTAAGGTTGGACCTGGCCCGGGAACCTGCGGGGCACCTGCCAAGAATGTATGCTTAAAGCTCGTTTGGAGCTTTCCATGGCTTTACAGGTGAATCCTTGCTTCATATAGAACCCACGCAGACGCACGCTGATAAGGCCGAAGTAACCGAGGCGTCATGTCGTGAAACCACCCTATACCTCTTTGCACGCAGAACACGCCTTGTCGTCTACCTTCCCTCCAATATATTAATGTCCGAATGCCGGGAGCTTGCAAATACATCGGCCAGACGTGCGGGGTTGCGGGCTGACAGGTCCGTTGCCTGTTGCACAGGATCCAGGATCCAGGCAATGTACGGTATGCGTCTGTTGCAAGCGTTCTCTCTATTCTCCGAAGCGACTTTGCTTGCTAGGTTGTCCAGGCCCTTGACTGCCATCTCCAGTTCAGACAGCTGCCATCGCTGGCAACGAATCTAAGCGATCCATCTTATTGTATATCCGCTTAAGCATCGTGGCTTGATCGACCGGATCCTCCATCGCTGGCGTTGAAGTAGCAGTATCACTACCTTCGTTGCTGGCCTCCGGATGCGTAAACAGAGTCCGGACAGGAGTGCTTTCGCTCTGCTTTGCGGACTTTTGCACTCGGGCCGCAATTTCTTGAATCGACTTCGGCGGAGTCTGCTTCTTCTTCCACCCGCATTATCGCGGCTTTTAGAACGCGAGTTCGGATACCTGATTTCCTAAGTCCGTAAGCTAGTTCAGCTCGATTGAACGCTACGCTGCAGTTCCGAACTAGCCACAGTGATATCAACGGGAAGGGAGGGCCACAGAACTGAGCCACAGAATTGAGACCTGAGAATTGAGACCGCTGTGTTAGAACTCCCTGACCTCTGAGCTCTGAGCTTGCATGGCTAGGAAGAAGAAGCAGACTCCGCCGAAGTCGATTCAAGAAATTGCGGCCCGAGTGCAAAAGTCCGCAAAGCAGAGCGAAAGCAATCCTGTCCGGACTCTGTTTACGCATCCGGAGGCCAGCAACGAAGGTAGTGATACTGCTACTTCAACGCCAGCGATGGAGGATTCGGTCGATCAAGCCACGATGCTTAAGCGGATATACAATAAGATGGATCGCTTAGATTCGTTGCCAGCGATGGTTGCTAAGCTGTCTGAACTGGAGATGGCACTCAAGGGCCTGGACAACCTAGCAAGCAAAGTCGCTTCGCTTGAAGAGCGGATTAACAGCGGGACCTCCGCTGGTTTCTCCGGTCGATACGAGGCGGCGGGCGACAGCGGTGCAATCCATGAGGACAAGGTACTGGCGCGCGTGCCCCAGAGGCTGCTGGAGGAGAATCGGCTTTCGGAGGTGCTGCACGAGTTGGTGCGGCAGAACCGCAACGGGGCGTCCTACGCTCTGGACATCCTCCCTTGGGGCGCGAAAGCGGGCGCGAATGCAGGGTCCGCGGCAGGAGCCACTCAGGCACCAGCCGTGGCCGGTGCAGCGCTGAACACGCAGCACAACCGGGGTGGAGTCGATGAGCCGACCGCGCTTGTTGACATTCTGCTGAACCCCAAAGTGCGCAAGTCATTTGTCACTCTGGGGAAGATCGTGCGGGACAAGTACGGCATCACGCTTATGGATTCGCTTACGAAGACCGGCAAGCAGCTACGGCAGCAACGGATGGCAACGTTCGTGCACCTTCACGGTACTGGAGTCCAGCCACGATGGGAGCGGGGTGTGGACATCACGGTCATGGATGGTCAGCGGAGGATTCCGTTCCAGGGCCCGTGGATCGGTGCCCAACCAGTCGGCGGTGAGGGAGCGGGCGGATCGGCCAGAAAGGTGCCAGGAGACGCTGACACTGGCATGGCTTCGGGTGACGCGAGTCAAGAGGTTCGCAAAATTAGGTTTTGTCAGTGGAATATTGGAGGACTGACTGACTGGAAACTGCATTGTGATGAGTTTCGAGGCCTGTTTGAAGCTTACGACTTGGTGGTTATTACTGAAACGCATCGGGTAGGGTTGGGGTATCTGCAGGATATTATTCCCAGCGGGACTAAGGTTTTCGCAGTGGGAGGTGAAAGGAACCGCGGGGGGGGTTGTGTTTGGGTAAAGGAAGGACTTGCTAAGGCAGTCAGCCTAGCCGGCGTATCAACGGTTCCTCGAGGGACAGACAGTATTTGGTTAAGAATTAAGGGTAACACCTTGGGTTGGAGGGGAAAAGGGTTACTGATTGGGGCCTGTTATGCGGCCCCGGAATGCTCGACTGTGTACAACACGATACCAGGTCACAGGATGACGGCATCTCTGATGGCCAAGCGTGTGACATGCCGGCTTCAGACCTTGGTTAAGCGCTTCACTCAACCAGGTGATGAGGTTATGCTCATGGGTGACATGAATGCCAGGGTAGGACGGATGAGGGAAACACCAGACCTTCAGAAGGAGGATGACGAGGAAGAGATGTTGGGCTTTCAGGTCAGCAATGCGGAGCTGTTCAGGGGCATACCGGATAGGCGATCACAGGATTCGGGTACTAACCAATTTGGGAAGGCTTTTGTTGCTATGTGTCGAGAAATGGAGATGATTGTTCTCAATGGGCGAGTTGCGGGCGACACAGATGGCAGCTTGACCTTTCAGCACAGAGCGCGGGAGTCGGGGAGTTTGATAGATATCTTTTTTGCATCGGCGCGGTTGTTCACGCACTGCATTGGGCTTCGGGTTCTGGGTATTCCAGTAGCAGATTTTGCTCCGGTTCATCGCCCGGTTGTTTTGGATCTTAACAGCGGGGTATCGCAGCAACAGGCACGCAAGGCTTCGGTAGGGCTCAGGTTTGATATGAATAAGATGGAGCAGTATGCACGTTCTTTTGAAACGGATGATTCGGCATTGGTCCAGAAGATCGTGGAGGCTACTTCCCAGCTTGGTAAGGAGCGCACTAGTACGCAAGTGGTAGAGGCTATCCTGAAGGCCGTGTCGGGCGCTATTAAGCAGATGGGACGGGCTAATGGACGCATTTCTAAGACTGGTAAGAGTAGCTCGGATGCCCCTTGGTGGACAGAGGAGTGTGCCGCAGCGCGTACTGCGATGTTTGCACAAAAAGCCTTCATGCGAGCACACGCCCTGTTGGACCATCCCGCGGAGCGTAGCGAGTTTAGTAGGTTGCGCACGCGGTATCAACGATTACGGCGGGAAACCATGGATGCGTATAAAGTTAAGCGGTATGAAGCCTTCTTGAAGGAATGCTGTGGAGACCCGTGGGCACTGTGGAAGCGCATTAATGGCAAGGCTAAGGCTGACTGTCCTATCAGCGACGTTTCAAGCTGGAAGGAGTACTTCGATGCTCTGTATAATGGATCTGCGAACGCCTGCAGTGAAGTTAATGCGGACATCATCCTGAGTTTCATAAATGGCGCGGTACGAGGAGAGGGACGGGGCTGGTCGCACGGGAATGAGCGAAGGGGTGCTCGCCTGGTGGCAGCAGCGGCCATGAATGCACCCTTTACTCTCCCAGAGGTCACGTCTGCGATGCAAGCATTGCGTAATAGGAAGTCGGGGGGGGGGGTTGATGGTGTACCGGCTGAAGCATTTAAATATGCGCAGCGTATGGTTGATGACAAACCGCAACTTGTTCTGGCACCCTACCTGTTGGAGCTTATGGAGGGAGCATATTCGGAGTACAGGGGACTATCCTCGGCAGTTCGAGGTTTCTTCGTTGACACCCATTCACAAGAAGGGGGATGTTCATGACATGGGTAACTACAGGGGTTTGGCAGTTGGAGGGGCTCTTTCCAAGCTTTATGCTATGCTCCTTACGCGGAGGATCAATGCTTGGGGAGAGGCTTCTGGGGCACGATCCCCTTTCCAAGGAGGTTTTCGCAGTAATCGCGGCACATGTCATAATCTGTTCGTTCTTCGACATTTGACGGACAGGTCAAGGAAGTCGTCTGGGAAACCGCTTTTCGTGTGTCAAGTGGATTTCGAGAAGGCGTTTGATAAGGTCCCTAGGGAATTGCTTTGGATGCGGTTAGAGGAGAGAGGAGTGACGGGTGCCACTCTGGAGGCGTTAAAGGCTTGCTACTGGAGGGTAGAACTCAGAGTAAATATAAATGGTGTTCTGGGGGACTCGTTCTTTTCGTTACAGGGGGTTAAACAGGGATGCCCGTTAAGCCCAACTTTGTACGGCATTTTTGGGGAAGGGTTCGCAGACTACGTGGAGGCTAAGGATCGACTTGCACCCGAGGCCATGGCGGCCCACGATTGTCCTCTGAGCGATGGCATGCGTATTCCATTGATGTTATATGCAGATGATCTTAGTCTTTTCGCAGGGTCACACAGGCGGTTGATGGCGCTGCTTCGTGCGCTGGAGGAATGGTGTGAAGCTTTTGGCATGAAGGTGAAAGTGTGAGGTCATGTTTTTTCACGGGGATCAGAGCGCCCGCAAGGCCATGTATACCCTGGGTTCGTACGGGCTGGCCACCATGAGCGTGAAAGAGAGCGCTGGGCACGTGGTTCGGTCATTACCATGGAAGGAACGCGCACGATATTTGGGCCTACACTACGGGCCAGGTGAGCCGTTCGAATCATGCACAGACGAACTATTTGCGTCAGGGCAAAGGGCGCTTTTCTCGTTGACTACCAAGCTTAAGAGGCAGGGATTGTTTGTTCCAGCTGTTTCGGTGAAGGCGTTTGACGCACAAGTACTATCCATTTTGTCGTACGGAGTGCAGGTGTGGGGTCCGACCAAGGTTCTAGATGTGCTGGAAAGAGGATATCCTCGTAACCAGGAACCGCGCTCGTGTTACTTCGATAACTCGCTACAGGACAGGATGGTCGAATTGCAGAAGACCTTCCTAAAGCAACTGGGTGGTGCGGGGCTTCCCACGAATCGACTGTTGTTTAGGGAGTTTGGGCAATATCCCTTGCAAGTTCACTGGGCGAATCTGATATTCCGTTTCTGGAATAAGCTGGTTGAGGCGAAGGGCACCGTGTACCATCATTGTTTCAGAGAGGAGATACGTTTGGCTTTAATTTCATCCATGGCGTACGATGGTTGGGGTTCGAAGGTTCTGAAGATACTCGAGATTCTTGGTCATGACATGGCGGGTGATGAGGATGTTGAGGCTAGAGTTGATGCGCTCACGTCATGTTCGCTGGATATAGGCCAGTTGATGCAGGAGTTAGCAGTCGATTTGATGACGATTGGGAGAGTGAGCGACTAGAAATGGATCCTGGGATATTTGTTTCCGACAACAAACAACCAGGGGTGAAAATGTGCCGGTACAAGCACTGGATGGGGTTGCCTAAGCACTGCACTGGATATATTTCGCCGAAGCAACATGTCACGCTGATGCGTTTCAGGATGTGTGTGTGGCCGCTTGCAGTGAATCGTCCTCATGGCAGGGAAAGATCAGCGCGGTGGTGTCGTGTATGTGGGAACCGTCAAGCAGTTGAGGACGAGCGTCATGTTTTGCTTGAGTGCCCTGCGTACGCGGATGTTCGCACCAAGCTATTTGAGCTTGGAGTGTCTCCTGAGGACCGCATGATAGACGTTATGGGCGTTGAGAACCAACGCGGACTAGCACATGTTTTGGATCATATCAGAAGATGCAGGTTACAATTTATTGATGATTAAATATGTTTTTACAGTAAGGTTAATTTACTACCTTTATATGTTCTTGTTTCCAGTTCGGCGGTTCATGAGCCTCTTGGCTCGTTTGGACCGTACAAGCTCGAAGCTTGTAACACAAACGTCGTCGTCGTCTCTATTCTCCGCTCCTGCCATGCCCCATTTCCAGCTATTGTCATAAACTAAAGATTTAATGAGAGCGGCCCATTTTATCCATAATTAATAAAGGAGTTCTATGACATTGATAGGACAGGCTGGAAACAGACGAGTTCGGGGCCGCTCATTATACGGTTATCTGTCTCGAGGTACAGGATGTGCTGGACAGGACGCGTGCTCATTTGTGCTACAAAAAAAATTATTAGATCCAGTCGTGTACGATTCGATCCGCAGCTGCGGTACTGGGTTTCGTCCAATGCCGCATTATTCGCACCGCCACAAGCTTCGCTTTGCTGTTGGGCATTGGCGGCTAACAGAGCGCGTAAGGGACGGCGTTATATACCTAGGGAGGAGCGAGTATGCCCCTGCTGCGGCACTGATAGCCATGTCGAGGATGAGAAGCACATTTTGCTGGACTGTCCGGTGTACGACAAAATCAGATCTGATATGGATTTCCCACGCTTCGAGCACATGAAGGACGCTATGAAGTGGGAACCTGAACGCCTGGCAAGATGCTGGAACGTACATGGTCCCACCGCAACTCTATCGTTCCCTTTGTTCGTTAGTATCCTTTATCACTTGCTTTGCCTGAAGTGCGAGGTAGGATGGTGCTTATAGGCGATCTGGCAGCCCTTGAGCCCTCGGCTCGTATTAGGGCGGTTTGCAGGTACGGGGAACGCACCCACGACCAGCTTCGTCCGCCACTGCCTGCTGCTGCTGCTGCTGCTGCTGCTGCACGGGCCCCTGCAGCTCCGCCGGGCCGCATCCCCCTCCTCCCCCTCCTCCCTCTCCTCCTCCTCCTCCCCGAACACCCACGACCTGCTTTAGATCCACACCACTCACGGCTATTAATGGATCGGTACAGCGGACGAGCCACCACCTCTGTCAAGGCGCGTGCGCTCTAAGAGGCATGCGGGGGGCCTTGTCGGCCTGCTTGCCTACAGCTAGCCCCACCCACAAAGTCCGAATGTGGTGCAGGGGACCCGCACCTGGGGAGGGGAGGGGGGGCCATGATGGAGCCGAATGTCGGAGAAACAGTTTCTGAGAGGGACTCAGGAATCCCCCAGATGAGCAGTTTCACGGGTCACAGCACCCTCAATCTCTGAGCCCACACCGGTGGGTCCGCCGGGGCCCGGATCAGCCGGTTTCAGCACCGTAACCACGCCAAGACAGTATTCATCCGCCGCCACCAGTTCCCGGAGGACCACCGAAGCCGCCACACTGGTTTCGCCGCCGCCGTACCACAACACCGCCGGGTCCTTGCCGTATTTGTACATATCCACAATCTTTACTGTTCAGCGGTACGGAGAAATACCAGCAATTGTCTTGGACTTGTCCTTCACTTCCGGCAGTGGTATTCGTGTGAAAACTGTTGACATATCGCTCGCTGCAGATTTGGGTCTAGTTTAGTTGCCCGTAGGGTATAGCGGCACGCGTAACGGGATATATCCTCCGATTACATACCCATCGTCAGTACCTATCAGTGCACGTCTCGCCGTGTCGCGCACACAGCGCAAGTACGCAGTCACATTCACATTCTCGTCGGGGGCCCGCGGGATTGTGATTCCTGTGTAATAAGATTAATTCTCTCTTGTTGGGGGGGGGATGGAGACAACGCTTGCTCGCCGCAGTGCAATTGGGAGCTCATCGCGGCTGGGCGTGTGCCATGCGCGCGCGGTATCTCACATTCTGCCTGTTGTGCTTCACATTTATAGGACAGCATCTGCCCGGGTGTATGTGTACGGATCACTTCGGATACAAAACTCCGTTGAATCATCAGGAAAGTCACCAAGTGGAGCTAGCTAGCTAACAGAACTTTTCGGCAGCCGATCACACACAGAGACAGACACGCCGCACAACACATATATGTACGCACGAACTCTATGTAACTCTGCCAGAGTTCTACAAAGTGTTTTGAGCCCCTGCACCAGCGCGGATGCGATAACGGAAATTGCCACGAAAGGCAGCTTCCACGTCCTTTGCAGTGTGCAGCACAGCCGGGAGGCTTCGCAATTTGGGCATCCGAGAACTTCCGAGCGATGCCAGGTTTCCAAGCTGTTTCGCCATAACATACCCTAATCCATCACGTCGGATGTTTACATCAATTTTGTTCCTCATGTTGTGGTCAGTGGCCTTTCCAGCACTGCCATCTTATAACCGGGTTTGATGTGTCGTACGTGTCGAAGGTAACTCCCGATCACCGGAACTGGAGTTGCGAATATGTAGACGACCTTCTTTGCAGCAACTTAAAGCATTCCTGTGGCATTAATCCGTATAGTAGCGCAAATTGGTATTAGTAGGAGGCCGGATGAGTGTCGATGAGGGCGCTCACTCACTTGTGAGAAAAAAACGGATGCCAATCACGTTCCGCAGGGTGGTAATTATACTTATTCTTGTGAGTAGGTTGTATGGCAAGAAGGTACTTAGGTACTCTGTGCACGCCTCAACGGTGCATACCGTACAGCAGTCAAGCAGACCTAGCTTGTATCTTTTCGCAGCGCTACCAAGATGTCATCCTTGGTTTTCGAGTGATGAACCTGTGGCCCATCTTATATTTTTAACTGTGCAATATGTCCATGACCATGTATGAGGGTCAAACCCTCACTGCCGGACAGCCCGTTGGCCGAACATTTAACTTAAAGACGACCCCAATCATACATTTGTGAACATACATTAACACGCTGCAGCAAACGCATCGATTGGGTTTTACGATACAGCAGGGCGCGCGGTGGGCGCGCAAGATTCTTGCCATCACCATGTCCAAGGACCGCTCACAGGATTACCAAGTCGTCGATAATCAGGGCGAGCCTTCGTCGCAGGAGGCACCGACGGTTCCCCGGCCTGCGGGTTCCGCGGTAGGCTTAAGATGTCCCTCCAAGAATGCCTGTTGACTTGATTACAAACGTATCTTTTGTATACAGACAAAGAATCACTATCTGCTTATTGGGCTCGCGATCGCCTGCTGCGTAGTTGTGGCAGCAATTGTTGGCCCTGTTTGTGGAACTGGTCACTGTGGAAAGAAATCATCGGCGGCGTCAACAAGAAATGTAAGAAGTTGAACATTTCAGCAAAGCGTCCTTCCATGTCACGTTGATGTTGGATTACTTGTCAGTGGGTTTCTCAGTTTTTCCACTGCTTGGCGCTGCGGAAAAATAATAAACAGCAGAAATGTTACATCATTTTTAGGGGTCATCAATTGCACTTTGAATTGCGTATCCGGCGTTTGCCAGATACCGTAATAACTGCGTCTTATAGTTTTCATTGGTTTTCTGTTTTGTAATCTTTGCTCCCTGTATTAACCTGGATACATTCAATCGTATACACCGCAAACTCCATGGCTATAATGTGTTGCGGTACTTTTCTTGGTTCGTCTCTACGTATGTGGTACGCAGCTGAGCACCGGAACGCGCTCGCTGTTGCAAGATCTGATTGACTGCATGACTTCACTCGCTCACAACAGTGCATTTTGGTTCCAACTATATGAACGCCCTTAATACCCTTAAGGGCTGAACCACCTGCACCTAGCTGCAGGTGCCGCTGAATCCCCTTCCACCGATGCCGTCTCAGCCGCCATCGCCTTCACCGCCTCCCCCATCGCCGCCATCACCTCCCCCACCGCTGAGGGCGCCGCTATTGCCGTCCTCAACCCTGCCTCCCCCGGCTTCTCCACCGCCCTCCCCTCCACCACCGTCACCATCATTGCCACAAGTCCCGCCGCCGCCTTCACCGGACACGCCAGTGGTGAGTTCTCTTTGCCCCAGGACGACAACAGTAACGCATGGCCTGTTTAGGCGCCGAATAACCCTCATATCCTCGGCACCTGCCCGTCGTTCAGTAAGGCGTTTGGTCATTCGGTCACAAAAGCGATTATACTCCAGCGGCACCTGGGTGTCCAAGCCGCCATTACAGACATTTTTTTAAATTTCACCGTTTCGCCTTTCCATGTCATGGTGGCCATCCTGCTGCGCTAATTTCCTCCCAGCAAGATATGCGGATGTGGATGGAATGGCCCGGGACAGCTAGGATGGTACTGTCTCAGTCACCCCCTCATCAGCTGTGGCCGTGTCGGAGCCATCAGATATAAATAGCCCCGCATGCAGCAGGCATCACCGTAATTGCCTGACCTCCGTGGTGGTGGTGGTGGTGGTGGGGTGTAATACATTGTTTTAAGTGAAAAGCAGACCGTCACAATAACACTTGGGCGGGCCGGAATGGGGGGAGGAGCGGGGAGAGGACTTCCTGAGATGTTGTAGTCCCCGGCTCTTGTTTCTGATGGCTCTGTGCGCCACATGGGACTGAATTCCCTGTCTCTCCCTCCTCGCCCTCACCTCCCTCCCTTCCTCCCTTCGTCCCCCTCTCCCTTCCCCCGGCCTTCACCTCTCGCTCCCAAACGGTTGGATGCCTCGCCTCCTGCCCAACCTCGCCGGACACTCAACGACCCCATCACACTACCTGTCTGGGGACATCTGGCTGGCTGGATGACTGGATGAATGGCTGGCTGGATGACTGGTTGAATGGCGGTTGGGCGGGTGGTGGGTGGGCGGACGTTGCTGTGGCCTCAGGATGACATGCCCTCGGAGCAACTGCCTCCCGAGCCCCCACCACCACCGCCACCGCCACCACCACCCTCCAACTAACCAACCGACAAGTAACCAACGAAACGGTGATGCATAGCCTAGTAAACCTACTCCTCCACCTTCCCTTTCACTACCGCCCTTCCGCCCACTTCCTCCCCACTCTCTAACGGAGTTGAAGTTTGAAGATCGAGCTTTCGCATGGTCACCTATTAGCTGCACCCGCAGAGGTACGAATGGTACAAATATGGAACGGAACCCGGTACGTGTAGAGGGGTGGGAGGATGGGCAGTTACGGCAGGCGCTGGAACCGCATGTACATGGCGTGTATTTAGTACGGAGGTGATTAGGTTGCCGTCAGAGTTGACCTGCATGCTCCACTGACTGCTTGAAGCACTATAGCACTTGTGGCCATGTTGATGATGTAGGACATGGGGGTTGGCTGGTAAGCACGGGAGTTGAGGTTCAGGTAATGCCGTTAGCGGTTTCCGTTGGGACAGGGTGTGGGAATGGGTCACGTGTTTTGGATGTGCAGTGCGTTTAGAAAGCACAGCTCCGATACATTTCTGTAGAGGCAGGCGCTACAGGCGGGACTGTGCTCTTGGACGATACGACGGTCTTTGCTTGGGATGGGGCTGTTGTGGAATTGTTGCCGCAGTTCAGTTGGGGGCTTGTTAAGGAAGGGGGGAGCTGTTGCCCCCAGCTCGCCTCATCAAGCCCCATCTGGGCAACCTCCCCACCGCCCTACCCAGTTCATTTTGAGGAGTGATGTATTCCCGGGATGGTGATGATGTCGCAAATGGAGGGAGCCCTTGGAGAGTGGGCGGGAAGTTGTTGATTGGCTGGTCGTGACGGCTGTTGGCTGTCTAGGTTTTTTGGGGCTCTAGGAGCTCGAAGTGACGACCGGATGGAGGGGGGGGCCCCCGATCGGTGTGTCCTTTCGTCGAGACCAGTGTCTGTTGTCTGTCTGTTTGTCTGTCTCAGCCGGATGGACGGAAGATGACAATGGGCGCGGAGCCCCCAAAGCTGCGCGCACCCTGCACCTGGTTTCGGTGCGGTGGGAGGTGACGGCCCTTGCTTCGGCGCCGCGCTTATAATAAGGGTCGATAATAAGATGTATATACGTGAAGGCCAACACAGGTGTCGTGAAGGCCAACACACTGGAGGGGCGCAGCTTGCTGACCAGGTGAAGGCAAATGAACAGAACCCCCTCCACACGTTCTGTTAATATCTTTACGTGCGCCATCTGTGCACGTCTTGAGCTTTGACTTCTCGAAGCGAAGTATGAGTGTAGAGATTGGCGAGTTTATGCGAAGGAACTGCCGTGGTGCGAAGATGGATGCATGCATGCATGTGCCGGGCCGGACCATAGTACGGCAGGGGACGCCGAGCTTAAAATTGGGTCGTGCGGCCGCATGGTTCTTTAACTGCCGTTGTTTTGACTAGTATTACCAAGAGATGTGTTCCTCCGCTGGGACAGCGTCCTCTAGTTTTTCCCGCACCCACACGGGCAGTCCCCGGATTGCCACAACGCGCAGCGGTCAAACCCTGGTTTTGTCGCGCTTGCTGGCCTTGAGTCGCCCGGTAGCTGTTCGGCCCTTGCCGAGGCTCTTTAGGTCCTGGGAGGAGCCTTTTTAGCGGTGCACTACAGGTAACTGTCACCACTATCGGCCACTAGTGCAATTTTCACAATTTCTTGGTGTTGACACAAAGCCGTAGGCTATATGTAACAAACATAAGTTGTCGTAACTACGCCAACCCAGTATAGTTTAAGCGCACTGAGAGGGGATTTCGCACCTGGGTTGTTTTGCTGCCAAGCCGAGCCGCCGGCTGGCGTATTGTAACGCAACACGGCAGGACTGAGAGCAATAAGTCGCGTGTCGGGTCCGCAGGCGGGTCCTCTGTGGTCATGTAGGCAACTCGGATGGAGATAATCGCAAGCTAAAGTAAAATTGATAATGAAGAGCACTTTTCCGTCCGGTAAACAGTCTAGGGTCCTCATCCTTCCACATACCACGTACGGCAGATAGTACAGTGATGTGTACCACATGCTCATTGTCAGCGAGGACCGTTGAGCTTATTCGTTGCAATGCGATTTGCGAAGCTGCGATGATAATGATGATAATGATGATGATGATGCGTTTTGTGGAACGGAGGATGGCGATGGCTTTAAAGTACGGCCATAAATATTGGGATATACGTTTGTGATGTGGGTTCCTGGACAATGGCATGCAGCTCAGGGGCCGGCGCACGTGCGCGTTGTAGGGCGGGGCCTCCCATCCTCTCTCCTTACGTGGCTGGGTCAAAGCGCAACGCAAAGCACATTGGATCACTACGGCGCGGAGTTTCGTTCAGGTGTCCTACGAGCTCCATGATACCATGATACCGCCAATTACAGCGTGTTGCAGCGGGCGCTGAAAATCCACATGACCCTGACAACACCCTGATGACAATCAAGGATGACAATAGGGCTCAAGGGCTCAAAAGCTATGAAGGGCACCGGACCGGCGGGGTACGCGCGAAGGAACGAACCTGCATGCCGAGGCTACACCACATGTTGTTGAGAGCTGAAAACTTTCGACCACCTCTTGGCCGTTCACTTGATAGTGGTTATGGAGCTGGAACCTGGAAAACCGCCTGAATTTTAATTTGCAGGCTGGTCAGGAATGTGGCTGTTTCGCCTTTCCCCGGTCAGGATGTTGATGTCAGCTCGTAGAGTACCGGACGTGTGTGTATACGTACCGCAGTTCAGGTGACAGTTCGTGCTACTGCTGGGCTGAAGTGGCAGACCGGGCGGTATGCGGGAAGGCAATAGCACGTCCTCCGGGACCAACGGATTTGCACGTTCTCCGCCACTACCGTTCACCTCTCGACAAACATGTGCGCGCGCGTGCACGCATTTGCATACACGCGCGCACTTGCACACTCGCTCGGAGAGCGCGGTTTTGCTGGGCGTTCGCAAACCTATGATAGTTGTCAGGTCGTTGCATATCTGCTTCCAAGGGCGAAGTTTACCTGGAAGCTGCGATCGCCCCTTGAGCAGCACGAACCTTCATCGGCGACCGGCCACGAACGGCGCGACGGCAGCCCAAATCGGTCTGTTAGCCTGAAGAGCAGCGATGAGAGTAAGTGTCAGCATAGGCATCCTCATTGAATATGAGGCAGATGCTCTCAGGTGCGTGCAGGCGCTAGAGCTGCATTGAGCTGCTTGCAGCTTCGGCGCAGCCCGACAAAATTATGCTTAGGGCATCGAATTTGTCACCGTTCGAAAGTGATGATTTATTCAAAGGTAACACATTATGCCATCCGCCTCCTCGCTGGATTATTTGCGCAAAGTCGGGCGTAGGACCAGTTTTTCCTTTCGCCGTACGATTGCACACCCAACCAAAAGCTTGGGGCTGCCTAACGCAATCGAAGCAAGATTGTACACTAATAGCTTCTGTAAGATTTGACAATTGAGTCTTATGATATAGCTGTAAAGATTGGCGATTTCATCTGTGCCTATTTCTCGCTACCATGGGCAGCGACAGCTTCAGGCCGTTTGATGGATTTGTAACTTTAGATGACCGGAAGCGTCCAAGCTTATATGACCAGGCCAGGTTCTGGGTAAGCGTGCAACTGCCGTCGATGATTGTGCTCTGCTTGGCGATCGGCTGGAGTTTAACTTCTCGACTCTAACTCCATACCAGATCCGAGATCCCAAGAAACGAAACCTTCTTATTGGACTCGCTGTAGCGTCTTGTTTAATTGTGGTGATTATTACCGCATCTGTCTGCGGCAGCGGCAGTTGCAGTAACAGCAGCCGGGAGTATGACCTGGTGAGCACATTCCTCAAGCATTATGTGTTTACAGATCTCAAAGCCTGGTTGGTCTTAGCTGTGTTTGTGTCCTCAACCCTTTGTGAGCTGTGTGAGGTCGAATGCTTGCAAGATGTTGGGAGCGAATCTTTGGCGTGCTGTTATGACTTGTGTGACGAACACTTGCATGGTACCTCAGCTCAACATCGGCTTCCACTATCCTTGCTAGCCCGTGTTGAGCCGAGCCGTACACCCTCATGCACCTCGGGCCAGAAGTACTGCTGAACACCATATACAGATTTCTCCCAGGGCAAGGCTGCAGTTTCGACGGAAACCTAAGAAGCGTACCGGCAGTTGCCCAGTTAAGGGACCGCCTTGCCACCCAGGTTGCAATCGGCTACACTTGATTGATAGCTGACGTACAGTGCCACACGCACCAGGCCAGCTTCCTTCCTCTCGCTTTGGCCCCGCGCGCGTGTGTGGCTGTGGCTGTGGCTGCAAAACATGGACCGCATTTGCCCCCTTGATGAGGTTGCTGGTTGAAACCTTGCACAGTCGGTGTAGCAGTGCTGCAGTCCGTCTGACAGATGGCCCCTCGTTCCCCCCTCTGCCCTCTTTCGCATGCGTCGTCTTGTTGCTTGATGGCTGGGCCTGATTGCTCCGTGGTTGTGTCGTGGTCACAATAGTTGGCGCCTCCACCTGCACCACCATCATCGCCAGCTGGCAGTCCATCGTTGCCGCCATCACCAACACCATTATCGCCGGCTGGCAATCCATCGTTGCCGCCATCACCAACACCATCATCGCCGGCTGGCAATCCATCGTTGCCGCCATCACCAACACCATCATCGCCGGCTGGCAATCCATCGTTGCCGCCATCACCAACACCATCATCGCCGGCTGTCAATCCATCGTTGCCGCCATCACCAACACCATCATCGCCGGCTGGCAATCCATCGTTGCCGCCATCACCAACACCATCATCGCCGGCTGTCAATCCATCGTTGCCGCCATCACCAACACCATCATCGCCGGCTGGCAATCCATCGTTGCCGCCATCACCAACACCATCATCGCCGGCTGTCAATCCATCGTTGCCGCCATCACCAACACCATCATCGCCGGCTGGCAATCCATCGTTGCCGCCATCACCAACACCATCATCGCCGGCTGTCAATCCATCGTTGCCGCCATCACCAACACCATCATCGCCGGCTGGCAATCCATCGTTGCCGCCATCACCAACACCATCATCGCCGGCTGGCAATCCATCGTTGCCGCCATCACCAACACCATCATCGCCGTCCCCTCAAACCCGACGTCACCTGCGATCTGGCCGCCGCCAATACTGACCAATATACAAACACGATACATATATATGTATATATATACACAAAAATGTGTGTATCCCCCGATTGTCGGCCGTCATCGCTTAGTTCTGGCGACAACTTCCACATGCTGAGCTCCGCCCGCACCGGGCACCTCTGGCATTACGGAGGGGCCGCCAGTCGTCGGCCACCTGCCGTGGCGGTGAAACCCCAATCAGGGCCAACCAACTCCCGAGCCAGCTGGGATCGCCGTCGGGGCCTTCCTATGGTTCTGCCTGATGGAGGAGAGTGCGCCTTAGGGTCTACCGCTGTCTACGGCCGGTGACAGCGACGGCTGTGTTGGCAGCTGTGGCAATGGCGGTGCCTGTGTTGCGCCTGCACCTGCAGATGGGGTTGTGGTTGCGGGTGTGCGACAGAGAGCGTTAGGATGGTTGAAGGTCGTGACTGCTCAGGGTGGGGGTTTTCACCAAGGAGCCGTCGCGGGGGTTGCCCCCGTTTCACCTCGTCAGCTATCTCTGCTATTGCGATGACGTGGCTTCGGATCGAGACTGCCGAACATGTCGTACCCAAAGAGCTGATGGCAGGGATGATGAATTTAGTTGCGTAGGAAAAGGACGCAACTATCGAAGGCGGGTACGGGATTGCCAGACCAAAGAAGACAACCAAAGGGACGCCGGGCTCGGATTGCTGTTTGGTTTCGGCGCCAGAAATGCTGGTAGCGCTCTTTGACAGGCGTGTTGAAACCCCCTCTGGGCCCGAGCCGCAAACGAGCAGGGCAGGGGGCTGTGAGGGGGAAGCTAGCCGTGTGGCCGCTCATGCTTCTTACGACTGTCTGTCTGTTTGTCTGCCTGCTGATGTCCTATTGCGAAAGCACTACAGTGAGAGTGTGAGAGAGAGGGATGGGGAGAGAGGGAGAGCACCGCAGGCGTGTGCGGGGCCGTTAGGGGGGTGAGGTAGTGGAGTGGATCATTGCGGGAGAGTACTCTTCTGTCGGGGCATGGGCTATCCGGGGTCTGCCCGCCTATGTGGCCGTGCGGACTGGCGATACCACTTAGCATATGTGGAATGATATGTACTGAAAGTATGTATGGATGAACATATACTATGTGTCAACATATAGGTGAAGTGTTGTGCGCATACGTCGTGGTATAGGAGAGGTGATTCGTGGATACAATTAAGACGTTGTGCCCCTGTGCTCCCTCTTGGAATTATGCAGAGGCAGACAGCAACTCCACTCCAAAGCGTTCATTTTTCGGGCACAGTGGTTACGGTTGTTTTTATGTATGTTTGGTGCGACTCCGACACTCTGGACTCGTGATTATGAGCAGACACACACACGGCAGAGAACTGAACTGATTGTTTTCCTCCCTAGTTTTGTTTTCGAGAGCTCGTCATGGCGTTCGTACTACTGTCGTACCGCGATCAGGTCCCACATACCGTTTCGCTGCGTGGGCTTTATCTGCAGCCATAGCGTAAATGCGCATACATGTCCACAACGAAGGCAACTCAGGGGGGATTTGCTCTCGCCGAGACGGCGACCACCACCACATCTAGTGGTCGCCGGCTCGGCGAGAGCAAATTTGACCCTAAGGACAGAATCGCGCGGTATTTCTTGAATACGCGCATCTTTCCCACGCCCTTGCAAGCGTCTTGGTGGTGCGGACGCATGTCCCCTCTCGAAGTGTGGGACCCTCCCATTTCCTGGGTTCCGCTGAAGGGCGAAGCTGACCCATGGGTCAGTATTCTCAGCAAGACGGCGGGGTTAACTGACTCGGCTTACACAGTCGCTTGACTGACGCATGAACTGTGGGTGGACGTGCATGTATATGTATATGTGGATGCTGTTAACTTCGTCTAGGTTTCTGGCTGCCGATTGGAAGGTGTGGTGTATGCGGTCAACCTACTTCATGTGCATGTGCCTCATCTTTACCGTGCTGGGCCGGGGGGGGGTAGGGGCAGCACGACTGCTCGCTGTCTACTACTCCGCTTGCCAATACATGTGGGCCGATATAGACAAAGGGGATGATAACTGCTCATATGCAGATATGAATGATGAGTGAAATAGCTTTTTTGACTGCCGGTATGTCTCTGTCCATGGTTGTAAATCAGGACCGACGCGTGTAGTGGTGTGCATTAAAACGAGACTATATGCGCATGCCAGAGGTGAAATGGTAAATTCAGAATTCGTAGGGTGCCGCAAATGCCCTGAGATGTCGTGCAATGCACAGCTTGTTTGTAATCATCTGCAGGGGCCGTGACGAGCCATCCATCCACCATCCACTTTACACTTACATAGTTCTGACGTCCGAACGTATACATGCCGCAACAATGCAGAGACGTCAGACATCATGTGCAAGCAAGATCGCCACCTTCACAACGCCACCACCACCATCACACGGTGGTGACACGGAGTGTCATATTCCTCCCGTAGCTCCCATGCGATGACGTGAGGGACTTGGACTGGGGATGCGGACTTCGCTGAACACGTACAAAATTCTCAAAATTCAGTGTGTCGAAAGCAACTTGCCGGTTTTTCGACCGTCCTTGCTTGCATGTTACTCATGTAAATGTTCACCCGTCTTTCGCCGATGTGGTGTCATGTTCACATAGACCTTATACAAATCACCCTTAAACAGTCCCCCTGCACCGCACCACTGGCGAAGGGCGGTCGTCGCCAACATTTCTCAATGAAAACTGAAAACTGCGGATCCTGTTGTGCATGTGCGTTTCAAGACATCCCACAGGCCGTCCCTCAGCCACATGTGCAAGCCATCCCTGCACTGCAAAGAACCACCTCTGCCACAGCGCCACCTTTTATACGGGGCGGCGGGCGCAACCCCCGCAGTAACCACGTGAGCATCGCCGCCAACACACGATTGAACATCCCGCCCGCCGGGTCCTCTGAGGCCGCTGCTCCCATGCGACCACATGATCGGTCCTTCTCGCCGCCACTCTTGGCCGCGTTCCCGCCCATGGGCCGCCTCTTAACCCCCCACGGACCGCTTTCTAGGTATAGAATACACCACGTACGAGTAAGACGCTGACTTGAACGGCGAAAAGCCAATTGGCGCACTAACGGCTTCACGCTGCCTAACCCACCTCCCTCTCTCTCAAACACACACACACACACATATATACGCGTAACCGCGAGCAGGAGGGGCCTGTGGGCACCCCTCATGCCCCTCTCCTCCCGCTAAGGGGAGAGTGCTTCGGCGGTCGTTCCGCGCCCTCACTCTCCACCAGCCGCCACCTCAGCCGCAGTGGCCCTGCCCGTCCTGCAGCGAACCCATGCGCACACCCGCACCAGCCAGCCGCGCTGCCGCCGCCCCCAGCGCCGTCGCATCCGTTGGAGCGCCCCGCACCGCCAGCGCCTCCGCCGCCGCCGCCAAAATGGACTTTTCAATCTTGGTGAGGCGGGCAGCCACCTTTTGGCGCGGAGTGGACGAAGGGTCGTTGATAATCTGTGCGGGCGGCCGGTAAGCGGCGCGGGCGATGGCGGAGTTAGTACAGGATGGGGCCAGGGGGGGGGAACCCACGGGGGGGGCACAACTGCGTAGGCAGCAGGGGGCCCTAGGGGGGCCTCAGCCCCAGCACCAACTGGGCAAGGTGGGAAGGAAGAGGGGCAGGTCTTATCACTCGTAAGGCGCGAAAAATCGCCGTACGCTCCCTGTACGTACAACGACGCAGTCCCTTTTCCCACCTCCCAACCCTCTTGGCCTTCTCGCACCTCAAGGTCGCGCCAAAGTGGGTGCGCGTACGCCGCCGTACGACGCTGTACGTACGCCATAAGGGCCGCCAGCGCCGCCGCCTCCAGTTCCCGGTCGTGCCCCGCGGTATCAGAAAAGGACACGGACGCCACCTGCGGGCGTTACGAAGGCAAGTACGACACCGATCTCAGTACGACATCCTATCTTCGATAATTTCCCTCGAATACCCCTTCCTGCTCCCCTTCTCACCTCCGGGGTTCCAACACCCTTCCCCTCCCCCTGACCACCCCTCCTCCCTCCCTCCATCCCCCCTTCCCTCCCTCCATCCCCCCTTCCCTCCCTCCATCCCCCTTTCCCTCCCTCCATCCCCCCTTCCCTCCCTCCATCCCCCCTTCCCTCCCTCCATCCCCCCTTCCCTCCCTACATCCCCCCTTCCCTCCCTACATCCCCCCTTCCCTCCCTACATCCCCCCTTCCCTCCCTACATCCCCCCTTCCCTCCCTACATCCCCCCTTCCCTCCCTCCATCCCCCCTTCCCTCCCTCCATCCCTGCCTCGCCTCGAGGAATCCCTCACCTGCTCTGGGGTGGTGGCGAGCGCGAGCATCATGTACGGCAGCAGTTGCGGTGGCAACGGCCGAGCCACGGAGACGTCGAAGCTCTGCTGCGTGGCCAACCCGGCCTCACTGAGTACGGCCCTCTTGGCGGGGAAGAGCGGGTCCGAGGTGGGCAATGTGAAGGTGAACTGCGGGGCGGGGCGGGGCGGGGCGGGGTGCGCGGCAGGCCGCGGATGGTGGTTGGGAGTCGAGGGGGGTGGGCGAGGTGAAGGGCTGTAGTGCGAATGAAGTCCTAACCCTAATCGTCGTGTGTTGTACGTTGTGTACCAACAACCCCATTTGAAACCTTCTTGTTCGCACAAAGAGAAGTTCAGCAGAGATTCAGCACAATATATATCCGGAACGATGTAATTTTTCTCACAACGACACCCACACACACCTTCACCCACACACGGCTCAGACCTAGGCGTGGTAAACCCAAAGCAAAACCTTGACCGTCTATTTCAAAGTCTTTCCAATCCTCTTCCTCCCCCCCCCCAAAAATGTGCGGGTAGCTATCCGGGCACCAAAACAACCCAGATACCAACAAACACGTGCCTGCAGCTTGTCGAACGGATTGTGCTCGTCCACAACACCGTAGTTGAGCAGCAGGCGGGAATTCGGTTGCGGACCACACCATGCGGCAACAGGTCGTCCCGCCTCCACTGGCCCCGAAACCACTAGCCGTACGGATCGGCTGTCCTCGTCGTACGTCATCATGTTTTTGGAAGTGGAGCTGTACGCCATCAGCGGGGGCCCCAGCGGCACGAGAGCAAAGCGCTTGGCGATGGGCACACCCTGGGTCGAGGGCAGGTGACGTGGCGCGACGGCGTCATGCAAGAGCGGAGGAGGGAGGGGAGAGGAGTGATCCCGGGGAAAGGTGTGTGTGTGTGTGTTTTAGTGTTAGCCTAAGGTGTTCACAGCCGGGGGTGTGAAACCCACGTGGGGGAGGCGAGTAAGGGGAGAGGAAGGGAGAGAGGGGGAGGGGGGGTATGTGCCGTAGAAATGAGTAGTGGAAGAGTGAGGGTGTGTGTGCAGCGCGATGCAGCAGTACGTGTGCTGTACGGGGTCCGAACCTCAAGTAAAAGTCGTACATTAAAAGCCGTACCTGCAAGTGTACGATGGACGCCTGTACGACAGCAAAGGCTTGTTGGAAGAGCTCAAAGGAGAATGTCTCCGTGGGCAGGTCAAAGGGATATTTGTTGAACAGAGACCCTGGAGAGAAGGGGGGGGCCAGGGGGGGGTAAGGAGGAATCCCTAAACTGTAGATGGAGGATCAGGGCTTGATTGGCCGCACAAACACAATCTCCAGAAAGGAAACCTTCAGAGGAATCACGCGCAACATCTAAAAGCCATGCAGGACTGCGTCCCTCCCGCAAATCGCATTGACACATTACTTCCCCTCCGCACGCACATCCCTGGACTCTCCCCCCCCACACACACCTCCCCGCCCCCTCACCAGCCATGAACCAGACCGTGTCAAGCGCCTCGTACTCTTTCCGTATTCCCGCCTGACGCTGCCGTACAGCAGGAAGGAGCGGGGAACCTGCAACAAACACCCCCCAGGACATCGCCACCTCAGGTGAGACCCCATTGTTAACAGGCAGCGTCAACAGGTCGGAGGTGTTGCTGCTGCTGCTGCTGCTGCCGCTACTGCTGGTTTGCGGGCGTCTCAGTCCGAGCACTAAAACCTGACATCCCGACCTATGTAGAAGAGCCCCCTCCCCTCCCTTCCCCCCACCCCACCCCACCCCCGGGAAGCTCATCCAACGGCTCCCCAAAACCCCGTAGCGTTCTCCACACGTCGTGCTTCGCCACTTCCTCACAGCCCTCCCGCCCCCCCGCTACCCTCATCCCCCCCCGTGCCGCCCACATGCCCCTCCACAAACACCTCCCGCAGTTTCCATTCCTCATCCCCACTCACATATCGCCCATATTGTCCCCAACTTTCCTCGCCCCCGCCCCCACACTTCCGCACCCTTCAGTAGCGAGTCCAGTTCCTGGTCCCCCCACAGCAGCGGCGACTCAGCCGCCTGCGGACCACGAGCCTGCTGCTTGTCCAGCTCCTGACGAGCACAGCAGGGTAGGAAGGAGGGGCAGGGGAAGAAGAGGTGGCTGCCATCGTTATAACCCTCACCTGATCCTATCGTGCTAATCCGCGGGATGTTCTTCCGCATGCCAGGGATTAACACCCCCCAATTCGTGACGTGACGTGTAACCGAAAGTTAAAAACAGCCCCTAGGTAGGTAAGCATTGTTTACAAGTCCTGTCCATGAAGTTTGTTGCAAAGGCCATTACCATAGGGGTGTAATAGCTCCGATATCTCTCTATGTCGGTATGTAAGTCGTTTCTGTGTCTGTGAATATAACGAACGACTCCCCCCACCGCACACACACACACACACACTCAAACCAGGATATTGCAGCCGAGGCCTGTCCCGCCCCAAGATTCCCTGTTTCGGCGAAAGGAGGGTAAAAACGGGAAGGAGTCCCCACTAATCCATTCCGATTGGGAAGTCGTCGGCTGCCCCTCCCAACATCCCACGTACCTTGATGTACGGATACCAAAAAGATTTCTTCTTGAGTTTCTTCTCGTACATGAGGTACAGCGCCAGACACGCCAGCTCACTGAGCTTGTCCGTAGTGAGCAACTCGGCTGGGGGGAAAAGCACGGTGAGGTGTATGAGGAGAGTGCGGGGGGGGGCCCCGGGGAGAGGAAATGCGGGAAGTGGGTAGATGGGTAGGTGTGGAAGCGTCCTCCAACAAGCCGCCTTCCGCACCCGTACCGGCGCCTATCGCTGCTTCCTGCTCCCAACGGCGGCGACTGATACCCTCTGAAGGCTTCCCCCTCCCCTCCCCTTCCCCCCCTCCCCCATGCCCGCGTGTACTGGTCCTCAGGTGCGGTCCTCTTCCTCCCGCCCTCCTGGCCCTTTCCTCTTTCCTCCCCTTCCCTTCCCTCATCTCCCCAACATCTCACCAACAAATTCGCTCTCGAAGATGCGGTCCAAGGTCAAGCACAGGCGCTCGGGTACGCTAAGGGCCACCTCCCCCGCAGCCAGAGACCGACCTGCGGGACCAGGCGGGGGGCAGAGGGGACAGCGAGTAATGGCTCTCGGGGTGACAGGGGGCTGATGGGGGGAAGACGAACCACCAACGAGTGAAGGTGCTGATGGGGGGTTGGGAGGGACCTGATGCGAGGGAAGAGACTCCAGAGGGGGAGCGGCTGAGTACGGCTACCTCGACAGCATGGTGTCATCTCCGCAAGGGCCAGTAGTATTCCATACGTGCATATGTGTTGCGACACCAGTCGTGTTGAAATGGTGGTCCGGACGCGTCATTGGGGTATATGTGGGTATTTGGATGTGATGTTGCATATGATGCCCATCGTTGCGTGGGACGGATTTGACTGCACTGCCAAAATCACTGTTTATCATTAGTGATTGAGGCAGTCATCTCGCCAGGCAGGTGTGAGGAGGGGGAAGGGGAGAGACCGAGGGGGAGGAGACGCGTGGGGAAGTGTGTGCGTGCATATACACAGCTGGCATAGGCCAAGTCCATCCATCCACACGAGCGCAACGGGTTGCTAACCATACATCATCAAATGAGAACTATTAAAGGCCGTTTGGTGCATTCAGTTGAAGTCGGGAACGACAAGTCGGGTAGGGTGGGGCTCATGGGGCTTGTTTTGAGTCGTGCACGGCAAAAGCCCTGGTGCCGTATCTTTTGGGGACGACCCACCAGCAACGACGACATCCAGTGGCCGCCCAGCCGACGGCACGTCCATGGTTTTCACCTCCACGGCATCAATTTTGGCGCCATTCTCCTGCGGTTTGAATATTTATAACTAGATTGCAGCGAGCCCTAGATCATGTCGTGCGCTTTCGCACCGGTACCCCATCCACGAGTGAAACGTGACAATATTTATGGCAGGTAGCGATGATTTGTACTAGATGTAAAGCGGCTTACCCTCAGCCAATCGACTAGCTCACTGGCAGTATGAACTGCGGTTGAGCGGGGCGTGCTCAACACGCGACGCCCAGGTTGAGATCTCGCCTGCATCACCAGGACACATTCGATAAGATGCGAGCTGGGTGCAAGGTTCCATCAACGCCGGTGTTCTCCCACAACCCTCTCATTCTTCGGCTGACGGAGCAAAATAACGCACCGGACATCCATATTGTGCTGCACCTCGTAGCGTATGACCATGGGCCCTGAAGGCCGACATTTTCGCCGAAGTGACCGAAGGCCGCTAAGGTAATGGGAAAACCGCAACCGTCAGTTCACCTATCCGTCGTTAGGAAATTGCCCACCTTACTGGGTCGCTCAAATACGACAAGCAAGCAACTTCCGTGAAGATTGGAAAGCCAAGCGCGTCAGGTAATGTTTGGTGTTACCGTACTTTCTGCCCGTACACGGCTATGCTCGCGGTGGCCATTTGATATAATGAACAGCAAGGCGCGGAGGTAATCGTTACCTACGTGCGTATGCAGTCTTATGGCTGGTTCACAGGCGAAGTATAGTTCTCCTAGATTTGATTCCGCACCAACAGAGCCCTGAGGGATTTCCGCATATTCAACCTTAAAATTGCTTTGGATGGCACAGTCACTCGTCATGTTTTTGAGATCGCAACGTTACGAGACCAATAGGTCCTTCTAGCTAACGACGACTAATCCAGCCCCTAGGATCCGGAACCTCCGAACTGACGAAGGAAGTAAGGTTCCGACGATAAATGCTTGATTTGAAGACCTCTGACATTTTCAAGTCCAAACGAACCACTTCTCAGAACCGAAGGGGTCCCGAACTGCCCCTTGTCCTTTCGCAACCGGGTCGCTGCTGCCACCGCTGCAACCCACATGCACACCACAGCCGCACCTCGCCTCCTAGTAGCTCACCCCTCACGTCAAAAAAGGAAAGCAGCAGCATCTTCGTCGGCCATATCCTTGGGGTAAAGCGCCAAGCAGTACAACAGTATATATGCAATACGTTGGTGGCCTATGCAACATCCGAGCAGTTTTCACCGCATCCACAACACATACGGTTGAAAAGTTCGGCACAGGACAGGAACGATGGGGGAGATGTAACAACATGATGTAATACCCCCTAACCCCCGGGGCCCCGCAGACACGTGGCGTGGCGTCGCCGATACCGCTGGAATGTAGAGAGCCGGACTTGGGGTGGGAGGGGGGTAGGCAAATGCGCTTCCCCCATTTGGCCTTGTACGGCACCTTTTCGTACACGCGGGCGTCTACCGCTATGCCGTACTTGGCTTGAGGTACACCTCGCTGGCCTCCGTGATGCCTTCCGGCCGACTGCCTGCCTTCCGCCAACCCGCCTGCTCCGCCAGCTCGTCCATCTTCGCCGCGAACAACGCCGCCTGCTCCTTGTTGAGCTGCAGCACGTGCCTAGCCAGGATGGTTCAGGGGACCTATCAATATGAGGATCGACATCGGAGTCACGGTCTCCTCCTTACATAAATTGTTTCTTATGTTGTTCATAGAAACAAAACAAAAAAGCACAGGAGGGCATATACTAAAATCTGGAACAATGGTACAGTAAACAATGGTACAGTAAAACGGCGCGGGCAGTATAACGACGACTGGGTGCCCCGTATCCCACCATCGTCGCCGCTACCTTCACCAGCAGGTGCTGCAGCAGCAGCAACGGCGGCAGCTCCCCTTATAGGTCTCCAGCTACCACCCGCCTATCCGTCGACATCAACTCCCCCCCACCTGCCACGCAATCCATTAAAGACGTTCTCTTCCAACACACAGGGGTTCCCCTGAACTCTGCACGGTCCCCTTCTTCCTGTCCTCATCCCAAGAGTCGGATTGCCATTTTCCTATTTTTTTATTCCACACCATTCCACATATCCGTTTCATTTCTCTCGCGGCGAGTCCCCCAAATACATACCTAGCGTTCTCCGCCACCAGCACGGCACCGCTGGTCGCTGCCTTGTACAGCCCGTACTCGGCGGCCAGCATGTGGATGTGGCGATGGCCCATGGTCAGTACGGAGAACGCGCCGCCGTACTTAGCGCGGCCTGCAGGACCAAGAATGGCAGTCAAACCCGAGCCATGTTCTCACGTGCATACGTATGTGTCTTTTCGTACAAACTGCATGGGCTCATACACGTTACGAGATTAGGACAACCCCTAGAGGCGGGGGGGCCACTAGGTCACTATCTCCGCACCCATCTCCGCCACCCCACGTCCCTACCTGTAATGGTCTTGGCCAGGTCCCCGGTAACCAGCTGCAATCGGAACCCGGAAAGGACCCGAGCGCGACCTGCGCTGTCCAGTGCCGCCTCCGCCGCCCTCAATGCCGCCTCCTCCTCCGCCATCTGCGCAGCAGGCAGCAGGGGGGAGGAGAGTACACAGCAGGCAGGCAGGCAGCTTAGCTTCGTAGGGAGGCAGACAGGCAGACCGGCAGGCAGCTGGAGATCATAGGGGGGGGGCGGGCAGGCAGCGAGAAAAACAGTCCATCGGACGGCTAGGCGGATGGACAGATCGACGACCCGGGGGGAGGGGGAGGACGCCAGAGGGGAAAAGGGAGGTGTGTGGGGAAGGGCATTGGGAGGGGGTGAGGCTAATAAGATTAGAGCACAGGGAGCATTGCCTACGCGACGCAGGGCTGCGCCTTCACAAAGTAACTTCACACACACGTCGCATATATAGAGCGAGAGGAGAACACAAAGTCGCACCCGCTGCTTGGCTGCGTCCTTGCCAGCCTCAGCCACGCCGTCATTACTGCTACCGATTGCGCCACCCTGGCCAGCTGACAGCGCGGCCCCAGCTGCTGCCGCCGCCGCGGTACTGATATTGCCGTCAGCTGGCGCCGCCGCCGGCTCTGGCTCTAGCCCGGCCGCCGGCACAACAGCCTCGGCCGCGGTGGACGTCGCCGCGGCCATGGCCTGGGCCACCGCCGCCCTTCCCCTTGACGTGTAGCAAGGAATGACGTCCGGCTGTAGCTGATCCTGCTCCGGCTGTAGCTGTTGCGGCGGTTCCTTGTTAAGCTCAGGAGGCTGAGGAGGAGGGGGCGGCGGCGAAGGTGCTGGCGGCGGCGGTGGAGCCGGCGGTGGCGGCGGCAGCGACGACTTGGAGCCGCCGGACGACGTCTTTGCTGCTGTAGCTGACGTTGCTTCTCCATTTCCATCTGTCTGGTTCTGCTGCTCTACCGCGCCCTGTTGCTGCTGGTGGTGGTGGTGGCGGTGTTGCTGCTCCTGTCCCTGTCCCTGCTTCAAGTCCTGGCGCTGCTCTTGTTGTTGTTGTTGTTCATGTTCTTGTTGTTGTTGCTGCTGCCCGGCGAGATCCTCCAGGGAGGTGGGTCCACGAGCTACTTGGGCACGAGGGGCTTCGGAGCCGGAAGCCAGCGCCAGCCGGGTACCCGTACGGAGCTCGTGAAGCAGCGCCTGAAAACCAAATACGGGGCAGGGCCGGGGTGCGGTAAAGAAGACAGGAGGGGGAAGTGAGTCCATAAAAAGGTAAGGACCTCCTAAAACTGACCAACAACCAAAGCACACATACTTACACAGGTACCGATACCACCCCCGACTTCCCCTCCCCCACAATCAAACACACACACATACACACACACGCGTGCACCCAATCCCCCGGCCGCTTCCCTCCTCCCCCGGATGAAACCCCAACCCACCGCCATGTTGTGTTCCGCCACATCTACTGCCGTACGGCTGTACTGCTTATTCGAGATCTTGTAGAAGGACGGTTCCTCCGTCAGTGTCCCGAAGCTGTGATAAGGCCCATTCAGGATATCCGCCCAGAAGCCCCAGGCGGATACGGACCGGCCCACATGCCGGAGGCTGCGGTCCTTGAACTCCTGAAGCCGGGGGCGGAAGGGACAAGGGCGGGGTCGTCCGCGGGAAGGTGGGCGAACTCGGGTTTGTTGATCATCTCGCATTGTCGGCGAGATCACATTGTTGGCGGACCGCATACGATATTGCGAATGATATTGCAAGGTAGTGGGTAGGTAGTGGAGGCGAAGGGGAGGCCGGCGGCTACACAGAACACAGCACGGTGGCCACCGCCTGGACTGACCAGCCTCTCCTCACGCAACAGGGCGGACTGGGGGAGAGCCTCCCCAACCTCAGGCAGGGCGGCTAAGAGGACCCCCCCTACGGGCACATCCCGGCTATCAGCCCCCTCCTCCACGGCCGACGCGAACCCCCAACCACCTCGCTCTCCTCGGCCGGTACGCCCTGAGCCCTTCCAAGGACAGATCGGCCACATCCCAACCCATCACTTGCCTATCTCATCCCAATCCACACCATCCCAGCCAGGTATGCCCGAGAATTACCTCCCCAGCACCACAAACACGGCACCATAAATACGTACGCACACACATACACACGCACCGTCTTTCCGTTGGGGCTGAGCAACAGTCCCTGGCCAGTGCCAGGCCCGGTCAGTGCAACGTTCACACACGCGCACACACGCACACGCACACGCACACACAAGATTTCTGGCCTGCGCTCCTGTGCCTTATCCAGGGCCCCATGGCTCACCCGCGTCTTGCCGTACGCCGTACTTAACAGCGAGCGGTTGGGTTGGTTGTAGTGGGAGTCTCGCAGCTCGTACGCCACTCCGTGCATCCGCCAGTGGCGGAAGTGGTGGAAGTGGATGATGGAGCCATTGGCCGGGTCCTGGCCGGGGGTGCCGGCGGCCTGAGAGGAGCAAAGGGGACATGGGGGGAAGTGGGTTGTGAGCTGAAGGGTGCGTGCGCGGTGTGTGTGTATGTGTGTGTGGCGGGGGGAAAGAGGGGAAATGGGAGGGGCAAGGGATTTCCCTCTCCTAAGACACACACACACACATACACACACACACACACGCGCGCACCATGGAGAAGGACATATGATGCCCTCCACTTCCTCTGCAGCCCGCTCCGATAACGCGTGTGCGCTTCTGGCGCCTTTCTTTCCATCCCCCAAACTCCGCAGACCAATTTCCCCCCCCTTTCACCCGCCTTCCCCTGGAGCTCACATACATACACATACACACACCTGCAGCCGCATGTGGTAATCCCAGTCCACAAGGTTACGACGAAAGTCGTACCGGTCGCCGTACCACTTCCGCGCACGAGCATCCCAGGCTTTGACCATGTCGTACGCCACTGCCGTACGCCACTTCTGCAGTGCGTCCACCAGCTGGTCTTTCTCCTGCGGCGGTTTGGCGGTATGTATATATCCTAGCGGGTTCAGGAGGGTCCAAACCCCCGAGACCCCCCGCTAGGAGGTACATGCCGCTAGGGGGCGGTAATGGGCAGCGCGCAAAGGCTGCATGCACCCCATGAACCCCAGGTCAGACCTCCGGTCCTACCTTCCATGACCATCGTAGCTCAAACCCCCCAGACCGCCCCCAACAAGCTAGGAGGGGCCCACTCAAGGCCCCTCATGGAGCTCACACACCACCCGCTAGGAGGTGTGGACGGCCGGGCCGGCGGACAGCACAGAGCGCACAGAGCACACAGAGCAGATATGTACAGGCGACACACCGTCAGTCAGTCAGCTCCCGGCCGTTTGCCCCCCCATGTGGGTTCTCCCCCCCTCCCCCCCTCCCTCTCTCCCTCCC